ATATAATCTACATGAACATCTGCATCCCGCAACATTACAGTAAGAAACTCTTGATCAACAATGAAGCCTACAACAAAACAGCAATGCAGAGAAGACCCCTTATATATTACAATTATTCAAACATTTTTGTGTTTGAAACCGACGAGAAAAAACCAAGATTTCATCACCAAAACAAATGGATTAGGCCAGGTTTGCAAGTGGCAAACATGAACCAATTTACATTTTTGGTACAAACAAGACGCAAGGGGCCTGTAGCTGACCGAATTTACATCTATCTATCTTCCAGAGGAGATGGATTCTTGACTAAGCGGTACACAAGGAAGCCCTCTGTTTTGCTAGTAATTCCTTTAACTTCCTTATAAGCTGAGGGTTGGAGCACATGTAATCCTGGAAAGATCCCCTTATACTCTGCAACAACTCCTTGTTGTAATCACCTAGCTTGATATTAAGCAACTTCGTGAATAGATTCTTCCACAGTTCAACGTTCCAATACCTATACCGGAACAACAGAGAGTTCAAGTCAGAGAGAGGAAGGGAAGAGGATGGTTGGTTGCTCACTCAAACTCAAACTCAAACTCAAACTCTACAAAGAATCTATCTACGGATAAGTTTCAAAAGGTTTCTTTTCTACCCTTACGAAAATTTGTTCCAAAAAGATCTTTGAAGAGCTTCTTCGTCAAACTAAGATGGACACTGAGGTGACGGCTAATGCTTAAAAATGAAAGGCATACGTAATATCATTTCCATTATTCACATAATTGATGTAGCAATTGATGTGCAACAACTAATAATGTAAAGAAAAGCGTGACGGCTAAGTATTTTGCACAGGACAGGAAAAGGAAACAGAGTAAAGACGCCAGAAAAGTTACTAACCGTTTAAAAGAAGTTTTGGGTAAATAAACAAAGCTCCCATCAGATGATACTTTTTTCTCAACGTCCATGTAGGAACCATGAAGCATAGTGTGGACGACCACACAGAAGCCATATATGTCTACCTGTACAAACACAGAATGCTACTGATAGAACTTTTGTTTTCCTCTTCACAATGGGTTTGCAGCACTAGAGTTGTTATAAATAACCACACTGCAGAAGAGACTGACCTGATATTTCCAAGGTTTATTCTCTAGCATTTCTGTACAACGAAAGCCAGAAGTTCGGCAATCTCCTTCAAATTCTACATTTTCAGGAAAAAGTTGCAGATCTATACCTCTTCCCCAATCAACAAGGCAAAGCCCCTACAAGATAAAGCTACAGGTAATCTTCCTAGCTCTCAGCTAATGTAATGTACTGGGAACAAAAACAAGGAATAATGAACCTACATACCTGATCATTCCAAGGACCACTACGTTCCCGAAATCCATCTTCCGTTAGTTTGCCTCTGCATAATGGTTAACAAAACTAAAGTCAATTGGTAGAGAATTATAGAATGGGAGTACGAAAATTTTTCAGTCGGATTCTGGAACAGCTTAAGCCCATCGCTAGCAAGCAGATATTGTATATTCGGACTTTCCTCAAGGTTTTTAAAACGCGTCTGCTAGGGAGAGGTTTTCACATCCTTATAAATAATGTTTTGTTCTCCTCCTCAACCGATGTGGGATCTCACAATCTACCCCCTTCGGGGCTCGGCGTCCTCGCCAGTACTCGTTCCCTTCTCCAATCTATGTGGGACCCCCAATCCACGCCCCTTTGGGGTCCAACGTTCTTGCTGGCACACTGCCTCGTGTCCACCCCTTTCAAGACTCAGCCTTCTCACTGACATATCGTCCGGTGTCCTGGTCTAATACCATTTGTAATAGCCCAAGTCCACTGTTAGCAGATAATGTTCTCTTTGGACTTTTCCTTTCGAGCTTCTCCTCAAAGTTTCTAAAACGTGAGGTTTCCACACCCTTATAAAAAATGCTTCATTCTCCTTTTCAACCGATATGGGATCCCACCGAAGCGGATCATTATTTGTGGGCCAAAGTTGCAAATGAAAACTAGAGTGAACTATTTAATGAAATCAACTTTTACCTTGCATAACGAATAAGCAGATTGTCAGGTTTGAAATCCCCATGGATAATGCCAATGTTGTGCAAAGTCTCTAGCATGTAAAGCATTTCTATGGTGTAATAAATACACAAAACTTCTTCCATTGTCTTCCCAAGGACTACATATAAATTAATGGCATCCTGCACCAGGTTTTAACCACACAGTTACTTACGGTGAGTATTTTAAAGGACCATACAGTACAGAAAGGTTCAGAATCTGAAAATTCACCTGTAATGTGCCATGAGCCAAGTAGTCACAAATAAGTATGCTATAGTCAGAATAGAGATACATCTCATGAGCACAACCAAAACTTGACCTCTGACATTGTGAGAAATTGAGGATGAGCATAAATCGAGTTGCTAACATTCAGAAGTAATAAGCGCTTACTGAAAATCTAAAGGGCTACAACATACTTCCTTCACGGTGACACGTTGATCAAGTTGACGATAAATGTAGAATTCCCAAGGAAAAGGAGGTGTTTGTATCTGACAAGCATTTGAAGGGAATCAGGACATCCAGCAAGCTCACATTCAGGTATGGCGTATTATGAATGCTTAAAGTAAAGGGTATATGCAGATTTTCTACCTTTAGTGCGACAACATCATCTGGGTTACTGTCAAGATATGATTTATATACTTGGGCAAAGCCGCCAGTTCCTGCACAACCTTTGATCTCATATTTCTTCCCACCTGAAAATTTTGGCAACTGAATTAGAACGATCATGATGAATAGAGTATGAATGAAATAAGAACATTTTTTCCTTCATTTCTTACAAAATATTTCGAGAAATCTCGCTGTTTTGAAGGATTGACTGAAGGTAGTTCTATCTATTTAGGTGAAAAATCTAACTATGCCATTACCAATCTCAATAACTTTATTCCTGGATGAATTCCGCAATGAATTTAGAGCCATCTTTTTAGGGTAAGGTTTAATGCTTGAATGGTAACCCTGAAACATGCATTAGATTCATAGTCAAGTTAGTAAGAGAGTAATAACTAGCTTGCTTACATCATTGGACAAGGAAAGCTGCACTTTCTTACCTCATACTTCAAAATCTTGAGATTAATCTTGCTTAATAAATCTTTCATAACAGAGGAAGACCATGGATTCACGTAAGTTTCTACAAATTTAGTGGATTCACCACCGTCATTCTACAAAAACGAAATTTATAAGTCAAAATTCCTACGTTATATACTTGAAGGAACATAATCTCATTTGCTCTGTGCTTTAAGAACACGCACCAATTTCATTGAATGAGTATTGACTAACTCAGACATCCTATCAATAAACAACATTTTTGCCTTTTTCAGCCACTCAAGGGGCTCAGCGTTCCTGTTATCAGTTAAAAAATGTAAGGAACAAGCATAATCGTACATGTATTCAGCAGTATGCCCATGAGAGGGAGATAGAGATACCTCAACAAGCCAATCTCATAAATCATGTTAGCGTCGTTTAGTCTCCCCTTGGATTCAAGGAACACTGCATACCAAATATAAAGCAAAGAATTGCCAATGCATATCTCCTGCTCCAATAATTCCTTGAAACCGGTTTCAAAATCCTCCCTCATACCAATCTACTTACACGAACAATATAATCTTAATTATTATTCGTAATCAATAAACCGAAATTATTAAAACTCTGTCAAAGTTATCTAATCAACTGCATCTACGAAACAAAGATGATTAAACTTTTAAACCCACAGATATAACAGTGAAAGAAAGATAGTTACGCACAGAGAGAAACCAAATCTTGAGAAATCGGACATCGTTTTTGTACTTGACAGTGCTGCCGAAGGTTTTAATACAGTCAGAAACGAGATCCGCGAGACCTGGCCCAGAAACATTGCCGGAGGTCGAATTTTCAAGAGCATCCTTTATGGACCTGCGATTGGAACCAAATGTGCATTAACAATTTCACTGAAACTGGATGGAAGAATGATTGTGAATCAGCTCGATTACAGAAAAGAAATGAAGGAATACCAGAGCCAAGGTAACAAAGGGTCCTGAACAGATGTTGTAGTGCTGGTGATTTGAGAATCAGGGAAGATTATCGCCATGGCCAGTAGCTTACTGCTCGTGGAAGAAACGGAAGTGAACGACGCCGACCCAGACTGTTACCTTGGCTCCGCTCCAATAAGAGCGCCATTTTTGCAATTCAAATTTATTATAGTTATTACCTTTTTACAATTCAAATAATGCGATAAAATTTCATAAATACTTTTTTTTTTCAATTTCATTAAACTATCATCACCATATGCTGGAAACTAATTATAACATTTAAAATTATAAGAAATAAATTAATTTTTCTAATTAAATTTGTAATTTTATCTCAATATTAATATTAAAAACATTATTATTATTTAGTATTTAGAAACTAGCAGATTTAGTTACCAAATTTTTTGGTTTTAACCACTTGTTCTTTCTAGTTCTTGGTCAATGGGAACAATGACCCATTTAAATTTTCAAGTTATTTAGTATAGTATTGCTTCAAGAAGATGAATCTTGTTCGGATGTGGTATCAGTTCATTTATGTACCTTTGAGATTCTACATCGGCTTGGAGAGGGGAATATAATATTTTTTATAAGAATGTGAAAACTTCTTCCTAGTAGACGTATTTTAAAACTGTGAGGCTGATAGGGATATGTAACAAGTCAAAGTTGACAATATCTTCTAGTAGTGGGTTTGAGTTATTATAATATTCTTCGAGCATCATATGACGAGTGTCCCTCACTTATGCCCCACAATTCTCCTCTTACTTAGCAATGTAAGACTCCAATGGTTCTTCCCTCGAGCAAAATAACACTGAGTCTCCCCTCAAATGATCTATCTAATCCAAATTCTAATATAGGGATGTGTGTCTCATTTCTTGAAGTTACCTAAAAATTTTAAAGATTCTCTCACAAAGTTCGTATAAAGTTTAGGGTAAAATGAGTCCAGACTTAAGATTAGGTTGCCAGACATTCTGATCTATGAAATGAAAAACCCGACTAAATTGATAATGCATTCACATTGTTTGGTCCAAAGATATTATTTCACTCTTCAAGAGAATTATCCAATGAACAAACAACTAACCAAATATTGACTTTAAATCGAACTTAGATCGAGTTCACGCGACACTTGAGTGAGAGATACGTTAGGCTATGCTATCCTTTAAACCAAGTAGGGGTCCACCCACGCGTCAACGTTGTTGGAGTTAAAGGGACGCCCTTGAAAACCAAGTCAGGTCCGCCCACGCGTCAACGTTGGTGGAGTCATGGGGGCGTCCAGCCCGGCGCCCCACCCCCTCACAACTCCTGTAAAAAGCACCGAAAAGAAAAAATAGGATCAAAACTGCACGCTCCGATGGACAAGACGGTGACTGAAATCATACGCTCTCAACAAGTCACCACCAAACGTACCGCGTCACTGCCCCAAATTTTCAACTTTGGCTCACAATTCCCAATTCCCAATTCATTTTCCGCTTCACAAACAGTCCCTTCTCCTCTTTCTCCCGCCAAACCCTCTTCTCTTTGGTCCTACCATCACAGAGCCTCTGTCGCTGTTCCACAGGCCCCCACCACTTCACGAGAAAGCTCACACATCATACAATTAAAGGCAGAGAGAGAGAGAAATTGAGTTTTGAGTTTTGAACATTCTTCATTACCCACCCTCCCTTCGTGTACGACCATTAGTAACAGCTGCAAAAACAGACACGGATTCAGAAATAAAGGAAAGGAAGATAAAAAGTTGCAGTGTTTGTGTGTTAGTATGTGTGTGTTTGTGGTCCATTGCTTCTTTTCTCTTTAAACTCCCTCCCCTTTTTTCTTCTATAATTCTTCCACCACTCCTCAAAGCGCTTTTGGAATCTTCTCTTCTCTTCTCCATCACTCCCACCAGCTGGTTTTTGTGGGTTTCTGATGGATGTTGGTAAAATTGAAACAACCCATCAGCAGAAACAGAGGGTGGTGATGGAGAAGGGGAGAGTGAAGGAGGATATGGTGGTGGTGGATGAAGACGGGGAATATGATGAGGACAAGAAGAGGAAGGGCGTGATCGTCAGTGTTGGCGGTGGTGGCTCCGGGAAGAAGGCGGCGGGCGGCGGCGGAGGGATGCGGTGTTGTCAAGCTGAGAAATGTACGGCTGACCTGAGTGAAGCCAAACCGTACCATAGGAGGCACAAGGTCTGTGAGGTTCATGCCAAATCTCAGGTTGTGCTTGTGGGTGGGTTCAGGCAGAGATTTTGTCAGCAATGTAGCAGGTTCAACAACTTTGGAATTTCACTTTTCATCTACTTTGATATCTTCTCTTGTCAGTTGTGTGTGATTTGACATGAATTCTTTACACATCAGCTATCCCTGTCGTTGTTTCAGGTCTTCATAAACTCAAATTTCATGTTTATTTTCAATTATAGGCCTTTTTCTTCTTATTCTTCTTTATTTTGGGTTGTTGATTCATCAAACCAAACACGTAATTCCATCCTAGATTTCACATAATAAACCATTAGGAAGATGTCCAAATACCTGAAATTTCTGCAGTAAGACCAGCTCAAACATCTTGACATTGAATTGTGGTTGTAGATTCCACGAGCTGTCGGAATTTGACGAAATGAAAAGGAGTTGCCGGAGGCGTCTGGCCGGTCACAATGAGCGTCGAAGGAAGATCTCGGCCGAGTCCAATGCTGAATGCTCCATCCGCAAAGGGACTGGAGCACAGATGAAGGATAGTGTCTGTGGACAGGCTGATGATCAGGGGAGAATTCAAATGACCATTCAAGAAAACGCTGCATACAAGCACTTCCAAATCAGATAAGTTATAAACATAACTCAATCTGCTCAGTATGCTCTCTCTCTTCTGTCATTCAAGAAATGCTGTATTGTATTATATGATGTCCCTCCCAAGCAGGTTCTGTTGATGCATCCTGATCTACATGAAAGAATTGCCTTGTTAGAGGATTAAGCCACTAATAATAATTAAACTCAAGATTAGCCAAACTTTGATCATTATCTGTCCTGTAATATGTAAAAGATCATCAATCTAGTTCAGATTGATCTGTTTCTTTCTGGTTCTATCATCAGCTGCTTAAAATTACCTGAAATAAAAAGTACCTGCGTCATGTGTCATGTGCTTGTCAGTTTTAAGAGTTACAGGCCACAATATCAGATTTCTGGAGCTGATGGTGTCACGTAGCTTTCTTCAATAATACTGGAGAGATATTATGAATTAATTTTCTAACTACGAAGTCACGTGTTTCATCATATGACCAGATTTCGGCTAGCTGACAAACTTGCACTTGTAAGAAAAAATATACATATAAAGACAATGGGCCCAGAAGAGTTCATAAAATTTCGTCCGCATTTTACTAAAGAGTAGGATGCTTTGGGGGTCCCTGATATATATTTTTCGTCAGACAAGGGAAATGGAACTACTTAGAACATATTATCTCTAACCTCTAATTTCCCAAGTTAATTCTTTACATGGTGCTACACAAAAAGAATATAAAATTGGTACAAGTAGAATAAAACTGCTCCTTCTTCTACTGGAGGGGTTATAGTTCAAGAGTTCTTGAACATACATTGGTCGGTCAGGTTTCTTCCTTCACCTTAACTGAGCTGCGGGGCTGGACATTGCAACTTTCATCAAAGTTTGCCTCTCCTTTCTTCTCTGGAGGACACGCAAGTTTGGCGACTTGGCCTTTGTTGTTTCCTTAACAGACCTACGAAAGGAAAAAAAATAAATAAGAAGAGACACTATATGAGTTTACAGTGAAAGAATAGCGATAAGAGAGGTTATATAGGGTGCAAAAAAATCAATCAAAACAAGAACAGTAACAAAGTTCGATTCTAATTGGCCTTGTTTTCTTACCTTTGGGGGTGAAATGGATGGTCGAATTTGGGCACTGGTCTAGCATGGTGAACCAAGGTTCTTCTCAGTTGTTTCAATGCTTTCTCTTCCTCCACCTGGAAATATTTTTGCATGTTTAATATTTCTTGGTATTGCAACATGTTTAGTATGAGAACAGATTTGGATATTGCAACAATGAAGAAATGCAGAACTATAACCAACCATTCTTGCTGCGTCGCTCTCTTCTCTGTATCTCTTGTACATCACCTCTTTCTCCTTGATCTGTGTCGAGGGTATTTCCAAATTAGCAAACAAGAACTATATCTGTGAAATATTAGAAGAAAAAAAATGTAACTTTTAAATATGCAGCACCTTTTGATCAAACTCTGCTCTATCCACCGCTCGATTATCAACATGAAGATTGAATTCTTGAACTTCTGTGAGGGGCTTCCGTGATTTCTCTGGCAGTGGAATTGGGTCCCTGATAAATTAACGACAACACACTTATTTTTCCTCATTCTGGTTTTGAAATTTAGTATCTTCACCGTACGTATAAGAGATATGCTTTTGTAAATGAACTTACTCTTTTAGAACCGGCAGAGCCTTGAAATTCCTCATTCTGGCCTCTTCTTCCTCTATTCTGCGTCTTTCTTCCATTTCCTTCTGCATTTCTTCCTCGTGCCTCACAAGACTTTCCAATTGGAAAGGTTCAGGTTTGGTGCATTGCTTGGGCTCAGGTTTTGGTGGAATCTGCCCAAACACAACAGCTGTTCATTAGCATGGTTCTATCTCCACATAGCCCGCATAATTTGTCAAGAAGTTTGTTGGTTATGCATACCACAGGGTAATCTGTAGTATAAGGATATGGGGTAGCCCTTGGAATGGCAGCTCTTTCCTCTTCCAATTGCTTGTGCACAAGTTCCATGAAGAATTTTCTTTCTTTCTCCGCCCCTCTTTCCTGATGCCATCAAGGAGCAAAAGGTGAAAAATTGAACTCCGATTCTGCTCTTGTTGCTTATAAAGGTTGGATGGCCACTTACCTCTGTGTATAGATGAAAAGGGTTGGGCTTGGTGTTTCTTGGCAATGGATTATGGCTGCGAGTATCAGAACATATTGAGAGCTGCAGGGGGAAAATACCAGAAGATGATAACGTATTAGAAATTATTAATAATGCCATCATCACTTGAACTTTAAGAAATTAAACAGCTGCTACCTTGTCGATAAGATCAGCAACAACACTTGGTGGTGGAGGATTTCTCTCATTTGTTGCAAAATGAAATTCTTGTGGTTTAGTTACGTGTTTTTTCATGTTACAGAACATGCCCAACTCTCCCTTACTTTCAAATATCTGCAGCAGATCAGAAATGAAGACAAATTAAATCCTATTAAACATCAGAATAGACTGTTGTTTTGATGTAGCCAAGTACACACCTTTTTATCTAATGGCCTTGCTTTAAACATGGGAATTTTCTCCAGTGCCTCCTGCTCAATTTCAAGGAAACTCTTCGCCCGTGGTGGACGAGCCCTTAGTGACGTGTGCAGAACAGGGGTCTTAGGTTCGGTAAGAAAAGGTTTCCATTGATTATTCTGAAAAGCAAATAGCCACCAAATTTAGCTGATTGAAAAAGGCGTGGGAGGGAAATATACTAATAATGGGCTTCTTTCTTAAACCTGACGGGACGATTCTGTAGATATTACTGAAGCTGAATCTGCATGTTGGTTCGCTCTTGCCATTGTCTCAAGGTGAAATTCCTGCAACAATCATGTAATCGGTAAATCATGTAATCGGTTATTCGTGGTCACTTTTTCATTTAATGCTCTCTCACCTGGAATTCAGGAGGCTGGGGTGTGCTCCTCGGTACTACAGGTAATTTGGGAGCTTCCATGATCTATATAGCATAACACAAGGAGCAGGTAAGTTATACTCGGTGTGCCTAGCATTAATCAACTAAGTAAAAAGACGAGAAGAATCATGAAAGTGTCAAATTCCCAAAATTTACCTTTTTGTTGAGTGGTCTAGCTTTGAACTTCGGCATTTTGGCCATCATCTCCTCCTCTATCTCAGCTGAGCTCTTCACCTTGGTTGAGCGAACTCTTTGAGCTGTTTCAAATTCAGGAACCTTTGGCCTAGTCAAAGTCAGTTTCGACTTCGACTGTGTAAAACTACCAGCATCCTGTAATGACAAGTGATAAATTATTAAGGAAAAAATTCGGATCAGATGAGGCGTGGGGGAGGAGAGGATAGGATTAAAGTCATTTACCTGAGAATGAGATTTATTGACATTAGGCAATGATAAATCTCTGGTGCTTGACTGGAACTTCCTCATCATTTCAGCCATTGAAACAAATGGTGCTGGTTCTCGAACATACATTTTCCTTTCTTCTTTGTTAGTTTTGTCAGCAACTGAAGAACACAAGCTCGAGGATCCAACTTTTGACTTGTGAAGTAAAGTATGGGGTTTGACATTGAGAATCTGAGACAAAGAGGGTTTATTAAAATTGTATCAACATAATAAAAAGCCTAAAAACCATATACACACAATTTACAGCACGGGGAGGAAATGTACATAAAGACAGTCACCTGTCTAGATAGACCACCATCCAACTTTTGCCGCTTAATTGCTTGATTTTCTTGAGCTAAAGACGGAGTTCCACTTGTCTTTTTCATGTTAGTTTCCCTGTAGAATCGTTTTGTCAGCACACCTTCTTCCATCAAGTCTAATATCAGAAGGAAGAAGAACAGAAAAATCTACCTCTTGGCACTAATTGGTTTAACATTTTTGGTTTGTGATAACTGCAACTGACTTCTGGCTTTCAGAGCCGACGAATTCTTTACCATACTGGCAATTTTTCTTGATGTCTCCTGCCTCTTGGAAGTGGCACCTTTCGTTCGTTGTTCACCCTTGTGAGTACTCAAAGTTGGCAGGGGAGTACAAGCATCATTTTGGACTTGAGATTCTAAAACACTCCGCTTCTGTTCATGATCTTTACGTTGGATTCCACCATTTGAAGAATTTCCTCTACAGGAAGCAGAAAAGTTAGCCAAAAGCAAAGAGCAGAATATGAAAACTCTCCCCCTCCAGTTATGATAAAGTTTAGAGAAACCAATTGAACAATAGACGAACCTTCCATCTTCACAAGTACGAGTAATCTCTACTTTATCTTTTTCAGTAGCTTCATTTTGGGTAGATGCCTGAAAAGGATATCATGATCAGAACCAAATAGGAAGTAACAACTTGTTCAATGATTCAACTACCATGACAAGTCTTTCAATCAAACCTTTTCTCCACTGGGCTCGCTAGGTTTAAACTCCTTGTTAGTTTCGCTTGGCACGATTACAGTTTGAGATGTAGTTGGTTCAACGGTATCAACAGAATTTGAACTGTATAACTCTGAATTCTGTGTAAAGATATGGATCAGCCTTAGAAAGAAGTTCGCATGCGATGAGTGAAAGATACAGAATGAAAGAAATCGCTACCTTCTGCATTTCTTCCGCTTGGTTGAAATCGCACAAGTTCTCAACCTTAATCGATCTAGCAGTCTTGATTTTTGGCATACAAGCTGCAAAAAATGGATCAGAATTCAATTATACATCAATATAAACTAATTGTGCATCCAGTTTAATTGATAAAAGAGTGGCTCGGTTTGCGAAGTGTTGTGATCGTTGTTGTTCCAAATTTCACCTCGACTTTCTTTTACACTAATTCAAACCAAAAGATGCGCATATTCTCGTTTCTTTAGGATTCAAATGTAGCTCTACTATACTTGCAAAAGAAAGGTTATATTTCCTAAAGTTTCTTTCGAAATCAAGAACATCTTGAGCAACTTTCACTCCCAAACGGAAGTACTGAACAAACAAAGAGGGAAGAAGAATCGGAGTATCGCATAGAAAAAGACCAAATCCACGATCAATTTCGCGGCCAAGATTACTTCAAACCGTAAGTTCCATCACTTGCAAACAAAACTTAGTCAAATCTCATCATTATCACATACAACTCTATTCTAGTCCCACACTACTCAGCAACCGCCAAAAACCTAGAAATTTTTCGGAAAAAGAAACTTAAACTCCCGCAGATCTCATCAATTGTTCGATTCCACTTCAAGAAACCAAAATAATCGTCGAAAAGGAAAATCGGAAGGATTAGGTTAGAAGAAGTGAGAGAAAAGAACATACGCGAAGGAGCATAGGTGAGAGCCGTGTCGAACCAGAGTTCAGCTGCGCACTTATCCTCCTCAGACTCGCCATTGATGAAATCAAAGAAGCGAGGTGCAGAGAACTCGTAGGTTTCGTCGATCATAATCGACAGATCGCTATTCGAATCATCAACCGGAGCCATCGATTATTTCCAATTTCCTTCCAGAACAGAGATAAATTAGGAGTTTAACCGAAAATCTGGAAGAAAAATATTGAATTCTCGTGTCTGGAGGAGAAAGAGAAGGAGGAGGAATTATTGTCGTAGAAGAGCACAAGTGAAAGTGATAAATGAGGAGAAGAGAGAAGTGCATACGTTTCTTAGCATCTCTAACGGCTGGAAATTTAAAATACTGGGAATTGTCCAACGGCCATATTAGGGAGCTCTCAGGTAACATATCGGTGTCTCTAACGGCTATATTTCACTCTTCGTCTTTTCATAAGCGGACCGCATCCGGAAAAAGATCCATCGTGAGAACTGACAAGGTATCAAACGACGACGTTTCACCTCGAAGGAATTTTTTTCAAATTGGACTTAGGCGGCCCAACACAATGGACTTCAAGCCCGTAAAACACTGCAGGGCCCATAAAATATGCCCTCAATTTATAATTTTTATGAACCGAATTTAAAAGAAAACTCCTCTTTTCTCGGAAATTCCAAAATTAATCTCAAACCATTAATTGGATAAATGCAATAATATTTATCTTGTACTGCGCTAATTCCAATAATTATTTTATTTTTTATTTCCATTAAAATTGGTAAGTTTTATAGATTTAATTTTACTATATACATTTTATTTTTATTTTGCTAAATTCATCCACTCATTTTAACTAAAAATAAAATAAAATAAAATCTTTAGTTGGGTCTGTCAGTCACGACAGGGATGGATTTTAGAACAAAATAACAATAATTGTAATAATTGAACGGAAAATAATAGATAATAATAAAAATAATGAAAGTCGTGGGGATTTCATCCGAAAGGTTGAATATAAAATTTCCATCTTTTTCTTTAGCACACAAGGACGGCTAATAGATCATCCACCCACTTCACTCCCCCTGACTTTTAATATAATTAATATTTCACTAAATAAATTAATTTAAAATTTTAGCATTTTATTACATTTTACTCTTCATATTTTTAAATATTTAAATTTATTTTTTAATAGACACTAATTTTATTATTCATTTAAATATATATATCGTTTTTATACAAAATAAAAGAAAATTAAAAAATAATAATATTGTCCAAATAAATAGAATATAGGCTGCAATCAATATTTGGCAGATATTTCTGGTGTGCAAGTTTGACTCTAACGTCCACATAATTTAATGCCATAAAATTTCATTAATTTTTATTATTTTTTCGGTAAAATGGACATTTTCGTCTTTCCATCTGAAAGTTACTTTTATTTTATCCAAATATATTTAAATTTAGATTCTATTTATATATTGAAAAGTTATTTCTAAATAGTAAAAAAATATTTAATTTTTTTTCAGAGAATAAATAATAAAAAAATTATAAAATTAAGTAAATATATGTATAAATAATTGTATTGGAAGCAAAAGTATATTTTTTAAAATTAATAAAAAAAATATTAATTAAGGTCAATTTAATTTAATTCGAAGAGAACTCGTGAATCACCTGGATCCGTAAACATTTTATTATTTAATTTATAATCTCCTCCTCTACTAATCAATTTTTTTTTTTTTTAATGGTAAAATAGAAATAGCACAATTTAAATGTGATTTTTTTTTTTTTTTTTGTGTGTGTTTTTATGATCAATAAATTAAATAGTAAAAAGACAAGATTTTTTAAAAAAAATTAAAAGGATAAGTAAAGTTGAAAAGTAGGTTAGAAATTGTTGGTCGACATGCAGAAATTTTAAAGATGGGTCCAAAATGGATAATCCATCAACCTTAAACCCCATCCTATAATAATTTTAATAAAATTAATAATTTATAAACCAACCAACTTTGAAATCAAAATTTTAGCTTTTGTTTACATTAATAATTTATCTTCGTCGTTTTCCTTCACTTTATTTATTTATTTATTTATTTATTTATTTTCAAAAAGCCAAGTGGCTCCTTTTGGTACACCACGTCAAACGTAAATGACACGTGGGCCTCGTGACGCCTACCAATTTTGTCTTCCCACCTATTCGTTTATTTGATTTAATTCATAAACTACTGTCGTTTATTTCATGTGAATTTTAGATTTTTTATTCTCAAATTTAAATTAGTTTTCCTACCAATTAATTTATAAATACATCCATGAATAAAATACAACAACCATGGTAAATTTATACGACAACAATTGTACACCAAAGAAGTACTCATTCATTAACCAAATTAGATCGAACGGAGAAAGGATGAGCTAAGGGGTATGCATGGTTCATACTGCTTTGGGAGAGGCCAATCTTAGCTTCAATTAGAGACGTCCATTTGAAGCGTCGAATATACGGGCAGAGAATCTTCGTTTAAATGGAGAATGAAGGATGGAGTAAAGAGAGATCTATTCCGGTGAGTTAAGTAGAGTTAGGCATGACATTCAAGGAGGCAAGCACAAGCACAGCAACTACATGGACCCCTTTCTTGCGGTTGTTGCCAACACTTTTTTGGGGAAGCCAAAATTCGGGAGGTAGCACGTAAACAAGGAAAGCCAAATCGGAGTAGGAACCCCCATCCCGCTACGCCTCTATATAAATATAAACCCATATCAAAACTAAGTTAAAAAACTAAGTTAACATTATAAGGAAGACTATCCGGTTCAGATGATAGAGTAGATTTACTGGCCTACAATTAGGGGATGATAAGTAAGAAACGCGAGGGTGATAGAGAAATACCGTCGGCAACTACGCGGTTTGTTTGGTCTAAATTATCGAGAGTTGAGAAAGTAAAAAACATAATAAAAATAATGGTGAATCCACCAGCTCATCACATGTTCTAAAAGTCAATACCTTTATATTTATAGCCCACCAATCTTCACCTCTCTCCTCTACTCCAAACAATTCTCCACACAAAACAACAATCACAAACCCCAATGACCACCGGGAGAGAAATCCTCCACAAAATGAAGGTCACCAACAAAATCTCTCTAATTTTTGGAACCAAATCCTTAATCCCCTCGAAAATCTCATCTCATCTCATCTGGGTTTTGGTTCAAATTTCAGGTGAAGGCAGGGTTTTGTTCTTCGGCGCCGGATACTGCTGCCAAAGGGAAGGCCAAAGCGACCAAGAATCACATAAGCCATGGCAGCCATTTGGTTAAGGGCAAGACCAACCACCCCATGGAAGATTACTTAGTCACTGATTTCAAGCGCGTCAAGGACCACGAGTTGGGTTTGTTTGCCATTTTCGACGGCCATTTAGGCCATGATGTTGCCAATTTCTTGCAGAATAATCTCTTTGATAATATCCTCAAACAGGTACCCAAAATGTCCTTTTTTGTGTCGTTTTTATGAGCTCTACTCTGTTTTTTTTTTGTTTGTTTATTTGCTCTGTTTTTTGGTAGGCTGATTTCTGGAGCGAAACGAGAAAGGCCATCAAAAGAGCGTACAAGAAAACAGACGATGAAATATTGGATAAAGTAAAGCAGCTGGGAAGAGGAGGATCAACGGCGGTAACCGCCATATTGATCGACGGCCACAAACTCGTCGTTGCTAACGTCGGAGATTCCAGAGCCGTTCTTTGCAAAAACGGCGTCGCTGAGCAGCTCTCCGTTGACCACGAACCCAGTAAAGAAAAAAGGGATATTGAAAGCCGTGGAGGCTTCGTATCAAATCTTCCAGGTTTCATATCTTAAAATTCCCTTTTTGCCCTTTCATTAGGATTTTTTTTTATTATTATTATAAATTATTAAAACTTACCCGAGTTGTAGAGAGAGTCAACTAAGTAGAGCTGTGGGTGTTTGTTGACTATGTTCAGGCGATGTACCACGTGTCGATGGACAATTGGCTGTTGCCAGAGCATTTGGTGATAAGAGCTTGAAACTCCACCTCAGCTCAGAACCTGACGTGGAAGTCAAAACGGTGGATGCATCTACAGAGTTCATGATTTTGGCTAGCGATGGCATTTGGAAGGTCGGTCAATTTTTTTAATTGAAATTTCTAATTTTCTTTTTTAATTGAAAGATATATTTTACCAAAAAAATAAATAATTACAGGTAATGACAAACAAAGAGGCGGTGGAATCTATTAGACACATAAAGGACGCAAACGTGGCAGCCAAACGACTTATCGATGAAGCAGTATCTAGAAAAAGCAAGGACGACATATCGTGCATTGTTGTTAGGTTTCAGTAATACGTATTATTTATATATATATATATTATTTTTTTAATTTTGTAAACATAGTGTTTATATATCAAGGTGTGGATAATATAAGCCAGTAAATTTGTTTTGCCACCTGGCTGCTGTCTGTGAGCTGTTGAGTAATGTTATCTATTTATATAATTAAGAATAAATATCATTTTTCAAGCGCAAAATATGGGCCGACATTCTTCAGGTTATGGGCTTGATTTTGGGTTGCATTAATGGGCCTGGATCAGTGTGGGCTTTCATAGGTTGGCCCAACGGTTAGCCCATTTAATTGGTGGGGATTGGATCAACGGCCCATGAAGTATTCTCAACTAAATTTGAGAGAGCACATTATATTCATGAGATTTAAATGCAAATTGCTCATAAATGTCATTCCGAAATATCATGTAATATAAGTGTGAGACAACTAACCTACAAAACCAAAGTGAAATGTGTTTTATTAGAATATAAATAAATAATCAAGGTAAAATAGAATGAACTAAAAATAACGGTTTGTCGCTTGCCCTCCTTTATCACAAATGGCCACTCGCCTTTTTTAGCTACTAACTACATATCCCCGAAAATACCTAGCATTATATGAGATCGTGAGGCTGACAACGATACATAATGGGCGAAAGCGGACAATATCTACTAGTGATGGATTTGAGCTGCTATATGATGGGTGTAGAAGTCTCTCCCCAGCTGACACGTTTTAAAACTGTGAGGCTGACGATGATACGTAAAGACAAAAGCGAACAATATCAACTAATGGTAGGGTTAGGCTGTTCCAACGTTGCTTCGGGCACGTGGCTGACTTTTTAAACCTCAAAGGATATAGAACTCTTCTCGGCTAGTGGTACGATTAGCTTTATTTCTAGATATATGTTACATAAATAAAAATAAAATAAAATAAAAAAAAATAAAAAAGAATTATATTTAAAAAAATATATTGCGATGGAATGGTGCCAAATACCACGTACAAACACTACAAGGAAGAGTCCAAAACAACTTTGATCAGATGGGAAGCCGTA